CGGTGGCCGGGAACGGCCACTGCACTCCAGTCTGGGCGACAGAGTGAGACTCCAACTCAAAAAAAAAAGAGACTCTCAGACAGAATTTCCTGAGACAACGACTAGACATAATGCTCAACTGAGAAGCAGGTTTTCTTGGGGCAGATGGTTCCCAGACATGGCAGAGAGGGGCCTGCTGCTGTGACACCACCTGCCGGGGCCTGGCGACCGTCCTCAGGGAAGGGCTGCGCTGGTGGCCAGGTGCACGGCAGCACAGCTTTGCTTGGACAGCGCGCTGCAAACACAGCAGGTGCGTTCCCAGCATCGAGACAAGCTTGGCTGTGAGTCGGTCAGCACACAGCCTCGTTCATTCTGACTCTGATATTCTCCCGAGAAGAATTCGTCTGACCACAGCCCCCAAGCCACATACTCCTTGGAGAAAGGAGCCAGTCAGCTACAGATACCAGGGGGACTCTGCATTCGTTTGCCCGCTGCCTCAGACTTGCAGACACATGCCGGGACCTTTGCATGTGGACCGTGTACAACCTAGAAATCGTCCCAGCCCTGCTCACCTAGCCCTGTTCCTGGAGTCCACTTTCTATCCATTCTTACCAGACTGCAAGCTCCACAAGGGCCACATGCCTGTCCTGCTTAGGGTCGCACGCGGTGCCTGGCGCACAGTAGGTCCTTTGTGTCTGTTCATTCAGCGTGAGTTGCCTAGACTGCTTCAGGGGCTTCCCACCTGGCCTCCCTACACCCAAACACCTGACTCGGGGCTGCTAGAATCATCTGCACTGGGCACCGCGTCTCCTTGCCCTGGCCCTCTAGCTGGGCAGAACTCCATCATGCATTTTGTTCCCGCCACCCTCAGAGCTCCCAGTGTCACGGGTCTGCAGAGTCTCTGCTCAAGAATGTGAATGAAATTGGCATACCAGAGGACAGCAAGGTCTGGGTAACCCCAAAATAATCTGGAAAGGGAGGAGAGTACAATTAATGGGCTCAAGAGACAACAATGCTTCTCACTAACAGAAACTCTCCTCTAGGCTTTTCTGTGTTTAAAGGGCTCACAGCCAGGTACAGTGTCTCATGCCTGTAATCCCAGCACTCTGGCAGGTGGAGGTGAGAGGACTGCCTGAGCCCAGGGGTTCAAGACCAGTGTGGGCAACTTGGCGAGACCTCATCTCTGTAATAAATAAAAAAATTAGTTGGACGTGGTGGTGCGTGCCTGTAGTCCCAGCTACTTGGAAGGCTGAGGTAGAAGGATCGCCTGTGCCCAGCATATTGAGGCTGCAGTAGCTGTGATCATGCCACTGCACTCCAACCTGGGTGATAGAGTGAGACTCCGACTCCAAAAATAAAATAAAAAAATAAAGGGCTGACAGAGACGATTCTGGACTTAAGGGACCCAGGAGGCCAGCTAAGCCCAGCTCCATATTCTGGGTGAGAAAACTGACAAAATGGATGCCGAGGGGTGACAGGACATGCCCAGGACTAGAGCTAGTGTACAACATGGGTGTCTAGGGCTCAGACCAGAGTTCATCAAACTTCTAGCAGCTGGGCTAGTATCACAAGGAATATCAATACATACGTGTGCACACGTACACACACATGCACAATCATTCACATAGATCCCTCAGCCAGAATGTGAGTAAACCCAGGCTGAAAGGAAAAACACATATTAAAAATCTCACAGCCAAAGGAAATGTTTATCTAGACAGATCAGTTTGGCATGGACCTTATGTGAACTTGGAGAGAATTCAGCAGGAACATCTCAGAACAACGTGGATTAATCAGAGAGCCTTCAAAGCCACAGCACAAATCACCCTGGGCAAGATGCCTTCTGGAAATAACCCTAACCCAAACAAGTCATGGTTATCCAAGTGACCAGTCATGCTTTCTAGACTGCCTTTTCTCCTCTCCCCGCCACCCTGAAAAGTTACCTCCTTCCTTCTTTCGGTTTTAACCTCCAATCCACTTAAAATCACGACATCTGGACTTTTTTCCCTTGAGGATTCGGGGCCTGCACCGTGCACCATGATGCTGCTGTGGGTCAGTGAAGTCCTCAGGCTGCTGAGGTGTGTGGTTTGTTGGGTCCTTTGTCATGTGGCCCTGTGGTGGCCGTATTTCTTTTGTTTGCTCTTTTTAGTTCTTTTTTTCCCCTGTAGCAGTCCCTCTTCCTGCTTCAGGTCTATTCCTTCTAATTTCAGATAAGCTTGAAAACCGGATACCAGTGTGAACAGACCGAGGGCTGACACCGGGAAGAACAGGGCAGTGCCCCTCCCTCACGGGTGCTGTGCCCTAAGCTCGAGGAGCCAGTAAACCATCACCCATGAGCTCCCCAAGATCCTGTCCCTGGGACAAGATGGCTTCTGGCTTAGGGGTCTACTGTGCCAGTGCTTGGTCCTC